GATATATGATTTATGTTACCAACAAATGCAAGCTTGATAAAATAAATAAATAAATTTAATTATAAATTAATCCCATTAGGTAATTATATTACATCAAATTATATTAAATGTATGTATTATGTATTATATTAATATAACAAAAAAATATTAATTAAGTAGTATAACATATTATGATAAAAAAAAGCCATATTATACATTCTATAATAATTGAAATCGATGATTTATACACAAACTTTAGCACTACTAAAAGCAAGTGTCAAATATATTATCCAATCCTCAGATCGTTTCATTATTTTTAGCGACCCAATAAGCGCACTGCCTAGTCTCAAAAATATAGCCAACCCAGCTGATATAGCAAGAAATTTACAAAATTTCTAATACATTGTGAGGTCCGCGGGCAAGCACATATTATTTAAGTGGATACCCGGTTGCGTAATTTACAAATGTGTGTACTATTGACCTGTACATTGTTATCACATTTTTTATTATTTCCTTACCTACATATTTCCTTATCAATAATTAAATAAAAATTATACATAAGAATAGGTATCAATAAACAAATATATACTAACCGACAACTATTACCTTTAATCATCTTAATCTCAATAATCCAATTGCTTTTAACAGACATTCAAAATGTTCTAACAAATTTTTGAACATTATTTTTGCTATCCATGGAAGTTTGAAATGTTAAATTTGTGTCAGTTTATTAACATAAAAATTAATTCATAATTTGAGCCCTAAAAGTATTTTATAAGCGATTAAAGAAAACTTGACTAGTACCGTGTAAATTAATCACAGGCGATTAGAATAATTACTTATTAGACGAATATTATCATAAAAATAGCTGTTATTAATAATAATGCTCCGGTTTTATCGTTACTACATATATATATATATATATATATATATATATATTAATATTAAATATATCTGTGGGCGTTACCTATTTATAGGCAGCTGATAAACTATACCGTGTTAAATGGGAAAACCCAAGATTGTACCGAAACGATATCAAACAATATCAACTGATTAAATGACAGTTGACAGTCACTAACTCAAACGTAAAAAAAAATATTTTTCAATATTACATAAAGTGAGAAATTTTCAATTATGAAATATTTCAAATTTACAACCCTAGTTACTACTGTTAAATAGTTTCAAAAGACAAGAAACAATTAAAAATAATCACCGAATAGACCACACTTTAATTACCCATCTTCATCTAATATCAAGAGAAGAGCCACCTAAATTTCCCACCTGTAGCGTTTGGTTGTCAAGCACATCCTCACCAAAATACTGTAAGCAGTAGAGAAATCGAGTAGAAATTATCTGTTCCACACATTTATACGAAATTCTTAGTCCGGATTCAAATGCAATTCATAATCTTTTAACTTTTTTTTAAAAAAAATATGAAATATTATTACATTAAATATAATTAAATTGTCACTGTTAGACCAATGACCACAGCTACTGTGATTTTATACCTTTATAACACTTTTTAAATCTATTGAACTTAAAATAATAAATTTAAATTTAAAAAAGTGTAAAAAGAAAAATGTAGAAAATTTGAAAGAATGTAAAGATTTAGCATGAAAAAAAAATTTAATTTATCAGTGTATCCAATATTTATTTATTATTTATTTTAAATATATATTTAAAAATTATATATAGTTATTATTATTTTTATTAGCATAAATGTAATCCTGGAGGCGCCCCGGGCATCGATACCGGTACCTCTCGCATGCTAAGCGAGCGCTCTACCATCTGAGCTACACCCCCTGTTCCTTAAAAAATGATAAATATTGATAATTTGAAAAATCATTACAGGTCAGATTGTAAAAAAAAAATGTCTCATAAAAATATCCATGTTCGCTATGCTTACTAATAATGAATGTAAAATGTATTTATAAATAAAACTAATAAATACATTTCATAAAAAATATCTCATAAAATTATCAAAAATATTTTTGATTGTTAATAATCATTTTCGACACCACGCCAAGCAAGCCGAACATTATTTTTTGAGCTAAATACATGAATAATCCGATCCAAAATCACTATCAGAAAATCATCTGTTATCTGAACGAGTCAGATTACACAAATGGAGGCATCTAATTAAATGTTCTAATGTTATGTATTTTAGCTGTCTTGGGGTTGAAACCACGTTAGTTAATTTTATAGTTCAACTTCAGTATTTATTCGGTAAAGTTCACTAAGAGTAACCCTAACTTGTTCAGGTCAATGAATTATGGTTGCGTCAATTGTTTTACACAAGAATTCAAAATTTAATTTCAGTTCTCTGTGTATTACCTAATATTTTTTTATAATTAATAATAATTCATGAAAAAGTGATATACTGTTTGTGACATAAATTTCATACCACAAGTTATATTTGTTAAATACATATATCCGTCATTGAATTTTGACACACATTAATATTGTTACTAATAATAATTTATCGAAGACCGTGTTCTGTATCATATCTAACATCGAAGGTGCAAAGAGTATGTAGTCTTTGTTGTATATTATAATTTTAGATGATACATTTCATATGCAAATAATAATTGAATAAGTTAGAAGGTAATAAATATCTGATATACTTGGAATCAATCGGAAGTTTAAGATTTATTTAATTTTTAATTTAAGGGAGCTTTGAAAACTAGCGCTATTAATCTGTTCTTGGTGTGTCATATAGTAGAGGTACAAGAGTTAACATTTGTGTTGGAACTCATGTTTTAGAGCAGTTGGTTGGTAGAGGAAAGGCAGTTTATTCTCTAAGGGTTGAGGTCTAGTCATAAAAGCAAACCCCCTCCCCCAATGACTGGTTTCGTACCGACAACTAAGATTTAAAGTGCAACCACATAATCCACTTGGGAACGACTATGTCTCAAAATTTATTTTAAAAACTTACGTAATATGAAACTATTCGGATGGTAAAGTAAGTATTTCGAGGATAAAGTGAAAGAAAAAAGATAAAAGGAATTTTAATCACAAGTTGTTGATAACAACTAAACCTTATACTCAGCTGAATTAATTTTATTGAAGAATATTTATCAAAGTATAAATTTCAATAATTTTGAATCTTAAGGTTGATAATAATAGATTATTATTATTTTGGCGGAATAAATTAAATTCCATTCTAGTAAAAAATAATTTTATACTTTTTCCGTTAACATTTTTCAATTGATGTAAGATTTTACTCCATTAAAATATTTAGTTAGTCTATTTTTAAACATAACATTAACTCAATTTTCATTAACACACATGCTCAAAGAATACAACTATCTACAATTTCATAATACATTGATCTACATTGTGAAATAATATTGTTGAAATATTGTTAATATTTTGTTATTTTAATGTCATGTAATTTAATAATAACTGTTATAGCTTAATTTAAAGAATGATTTTGTTAATTATAATATACATTTTTAAATATTTACCACGCAAATGTCTATAAATTGAATGTCTGACAGTCATTAAAATATTTAAAAAAAAACCGTATTCTAAGACAGAACATTTTTGACCAGTTTCATCAACTCTACAATTCTATAAATCATTATGGTTATTTATGAACTAACTAAAAATTCATTGCTTTTATCAATAGAAAAATAACTATCCAAACAGATTATAGATAGTATTAAATATCTATAGATATGTGGGGTTTTTACATTTTATGTTAATCAATTCCTAAACCCTTAAAAAGAAATCATTGGTTATTAAAATATTATTAATGCATTTAAAATGAATTGAAGCACTTTTTGATACATTTAATATATAAAAAAATATACTGGTCTGTGTCAAATGTAGTAGTTAGCAAATATCCATATTATGTGCGTAGACTAATAATGTTGTAACAATTTTTTTTAATATTACAACTAATAATTTTAGAGTTTTAAATGTATATTAATGTAAATGATCACAAGGGGTTCGTATTTATTTTGAATAAAAATTAATATCCAACGATAATTTTTCATTTTGTAACACATCGATTGATGACCTATCAGATTATGAGTTTCCGTGTACGCTTAATATTTATAAAATTTTGATATTATTTTTAGTGTACTGATGGATAATTGAACCTACATAGTGTACATCGCATATAAAACAGTTGTATAAAAACAGTCAATTAAATATAAGAATGTTAAATGATTAAATGGCAAATAGTATCATCAGGGATGGACAGTATCTTAGATTAATTTGTATTTTGTATATTTTAACATTTGTGAGTTGTATGTTGTATCTAGATACTTTTTATGGCTATGTATCTTGTATCTTTTTATTTTGTTTGCGTAATAATAAAATATACAAAAGAAAATATATTTTTTTATAAGAAAAGATAAATAAATTTTAAATTTACATTATATTATATACGTAGTTGACTGATGTAAGCACTAAATTGATTGAAAATATGTTTCGTGAAACATGTTTAAAGGAAGTAGGGACATAATTTAGGATAAATTAGGCGAAATGATTTGTTTGCTGCACAACACAAGTTTGTGTTCTACAACGCTATTATGATACATTATTATATATTAAGTTGATATTCGAAATTCTCTTTCAAAAAAAAAAAAAAAATATTTATAAATATTCTTTATATATTGATAAAAAAAAACTTTCACTTGGAGGCGCCGGGCATCGATCCCGGTACCTCTCGCATGCTAAGCGAGCGCTCTACCATCTGAGCTACGCCCCCTAAGATGAAAGTAATTTGCTAAAGCTTGAATATTTGAAATACTACAGTTTAAATTAAGATACTAGCTGTAGTTCGGTGTGTTTAACTACTGAGAATATGCAACGCTGTAGCAAAGGGGGGCCAAAATTGATAACGCCCCAAGAGCCATTCTTGGAGAGGCCCAAAAATAAAAAAGTTGTATTTTATGTTTAAAATAACAACCGTCAATGCTGTATATTTTATTTAAAAAAAATACAACATATTTTATATGATAAAATCTAATATTTATAATAATAATAATTAAAAATTAAAATAAATAAAGGTGCATTTTGAAGTTTCGCCCCAATATTTAGTTGCTACGGCACTGAGAATGTGTTAATGATGTGCCTTTATTATCATTACCTGTAACAAAAACCGGTGCCATTACCATCGTGCCAGTCATTGAGATAAGCTTAATGTTCGTAGATACATCAGTAGGTGTATGTGTTACCTGAAAATATGAACATTTAGGAATTGTCTTCGTTCCCTTGTCATTATTGACAATTCTTGATGATGTTAGGCATTGTTGAATATTTCGCAGTTGTATCTAAATTTCCATTAAAAGAACTAACGTCAATTACTAATTAGTCAATTGTGACAATTCCTTGCTAAATCTGGGATTGTCGTTGTTGACAAGCCAATATCAACATAAACTAGTTATCATATTTTCCGGTAACATATACATAAAGAACATCACACCAAAAAATAATAATTAAGTAAGAAAGGGTAAATACAGTTCTAACAAATAATTAGCGTACTGGTTGGCACTCGAGTATAAATACCTAATAATAATTTATTAAATTAATTAATATGTTTGACATCGCAACTGTTATCAATATATTAACAAAAAATCTCGGAAATTCAATGTAGAATTCTTCAATTTACCAATAGTGAAACTTAAGCTAAGGACACATTTCGGTTAGTCGAGAAATATACATATATATATATATAACACACATATATCAAGCTCACGATATTTGAAGTCTACTTCTTGAGTGATAAAGGTATTTATGAACACTCGTTAACTGTACAGACTTTCATAAAAAGTAAATTATATGTAAGCAAGGCTAGTCTAAAGTTTTTGTAAACAACTTCATGCCTATTTATTCAATAAAAGAAATAATTTCAAAGTGTCAATTAACCGAATGTTTCTAATAAGTGATTAGTTACTGTATTAATTTTAATTAAGTGTACATACTATATAAAATAAATAAAATAAATAAATGTAGGTATAATTTACAAAAGTATCGAGATATTTTTTATATATTACTTATATCAAATTGTTTATTTATAAAATTGTATATTATTTTATGAGTTATGTAAAAATATATTTATCGATGTCTTTTTCATCGCTTAAGAAAGTGCGCACGATAACTTTGGTCACGGAATTTAATGATTGAAGTTTTGTTTGCCGGTATGTAGACAATTATTATGTGTCTTAAGATCTTATCAATAATATGAACAGGATAGCTATTAATATGTAGTAAAATCAGGGGGTGGACACAGCATGACGGCAACGAAATCAGCGGCCATTTTAATTGAGGTAATTTTGTTATCAAATTTTAATCAGTGATAACTTATATTCGTTATTAATTGTAATTTAAATAATGGTAATTGTTCAATATGTGTTCTACCAAACGGTGTAAAACATGGTGACCTACTGGGTACCAAGAAGTTTTTACCAGTGGATCATTTTTTAGATAGTACCTACGTCTACCATAATACAGACCCATGTGCAAGATTTCAGAATGGGTAGTGTTTAAAAAAAAAAAAATGTATAAAATAGATTCATCGATGATTAAATAGTATAAAGGTATTTATAAATTTTTTTTAAGTATATTAAAAACGTTTATATCGATATAATACTATAAAATGCAAATCATTGTTGTTGGTAGATGTTTTACCCTGGTGACAGCAATAACCACTCAGGGGGAACTCAACATTGTTTTGAAATGAAAAAGTAGATATAAAACATAGAAAAAGACAACTTGAATTTTAAGTAGACTGTATAATTGGATTAAGAAAGAAATAATAATAATGTAAATAATAATAATATATAAATATAAATAAATAATATACGGCCCACACGGCACGCAATACAAAATAATTCAAATAAAATACGTGGCCCACATGGCGCACGGAAAATAATAATTCAATTTATAATAATAATGGTATTGCAAAACCAAATGGTAACTAAATAAATAAATAAAATGTGTGGCCCACACGGCACACACGAAATAATAAATAAAAATACAAGCGTTGGCCCTCAACAATAAATATATATAATCAAAATGTATGGCCAACACTAAATAAGATGCGGCTTACACGGCACGCAAAACGAAATAATAAATTACAATATAATAATGATGTGCCTTCGGCGGCTAGGCCCGTCGGCCTTTAAACACAAATGAAACAAATATGGTCGACCAATACTCACTTGTGACTGTGTTGAAATGGCTGATTTCACCCACGCGACCACACCAACCCTGTGATTAGACAATTGCCTATGACGGCACACCACAGTGTATAAATGAAAATAAATCACAGAATTGGTACGTGCGACCACTCAAGCACAGTCACCAACGAAAAAAACTGCAATGGTCCACAGCCCTGGACAATGAAACAATGAATGAAAACCACGTTATTCAATATTCACAAAACGAAAATGACACTGTTCAAAAAACGTGGTTTGAACGAAATGGCTGCGGACGTACGAAAACTTGAAACGAAATGAAATTTGATGTGCACACCACGAAGACACAAAAACGAGAGCGAGATGGGGCCGACGACATTCACCACGAAGACTAAGGCCGCCGGACACCACAAAATGAAGATAAATGTCTCAGTGCTACCACACTAAACCAAACAACACGAGATTTATGAAACTTTGTGGCACTGAGAACATGACTTTTACTTTTACAAAAACATAACCGAAAAACTTTTGAAAACGTGGAAATAACGACACTTTCATGCGATGATAACAGCGCGATTGCGTAACCAGCCGGTCGCACACGGAGGCTTATCACCGCCGCCGACGAAGGCTGCGGATGCGCAACACACCGCTACGCATCGCACGAAAATGATAACATAAAATGACAAACAAATGAATTGATACAACATAGACAGTTGTAGTAAATTTACAAATACAATTGTAATACATTTACAAAAACACAATTTATATTTTTTTGGTAATGATGGGAGGTTGGAGGTTGACCCATAGTCATACCATAGTATAAGACTTATAAGCCCCCAAATCTCAAACTCTTATTGCGCCTAATACCTTGAAAAATAACACTACTATTAGTAAAATTTGAAAATGCGCAGTAGCTTATAAAGAATATTACTACCGTTTCATGATGGAATAAAATGTTACTAACTTCCTACTGTACCTCAAATAAAATGGCTAACTGATTTCATTATTGTCCTATGCTGCCCATGTAATTTGTTATCAGTGTCCATTCTATTTTATTCTGTGGTAAAATGTTCCGCTGAGCTCTTTGTTACAATTGAATAGCCAATCTTTGAAATTTGCATTGTTATCCACAGTGGTTGAATTGGAAAAAAAAATAAAGGTGGACTCTAAATGTAGCTGAACAATTAGCGTTCCAGAGCAAATTAATCTAAAAAAAACCGTGGGGGACTTTGTCCCCCCCCCCCGCCCCCTAAATGCATCTACAATATAAATAATTAAATATATCTAATGATTAACACAGATATCTATAACAAATAATAAACAATACTAATAGGTATTTATTTGTATTAATTTTATCAACACAGCAACACGTCTAGCAAATTTAAAATCTAAAATGTAAATATATAGCCATATGATAAAATTAATTAATCAATTAACTTTCAATTTAAAATAATTCATGTATTTTACTGTTGCCTACAAAAAGTAAATATTAAATTTATAGATTATAAATGTTTCTCTTTTATTAGTATATTAATTTTTTTTTGTCAATATTTGTCGACGCCAATATATTATAATTTGGTACCTGTGTGGAACGTACGTGAATATCTCGCCGCCGACCGACACACACACACACACACACACACAAACACTCGCGCACATTATAGCCGTTATTTTTGTATTTATTATTGTTTTAATTATATTTTGTGTTGTGAGTTATATAATATGCTAATCAGTTACCGGCGCGTTATCTGCTGTCACCGGCTCAAAATTGCACGTAATTTAACACGGCCGCCGCAATTTTTGTCGCTGTCCGTCCGTCGTCGTGAGCAAAACGTCACGAAATTAAATTTACGTTTTTGTTACCAGGCGCGAATCGCCAACATTTTTTTTAATTTTTGTTATTGGTATTTATAGTGTGCGCTAATCGCCACTGATTTATATTTTATATTATTTTATTGGTTGTGAGCGCTAAGTGCTACATATTTATATTTTTTGTGTATCTGCAGTGTATTTAAGGTTCTGGTAGCGGCTGGCCAGCAGTGCTCCGACTTATCCGTGAGTTATATTTCTTAATTATTATTATTATTGTTTATTATCGTGCCATAAGGGCCGCATATTATATTATTTTTTTTTATTTTCTTGTTATTTACACTTGTTGGGCCAGAAGGGCCATACATACATATTATATTATTATTATTTTTATTTGTGTGTGAATTATTCGAACAATTGTATATATTATTTTACTGTACGGGGCGTGATAACCGGCCGCAGTAGGCAATTTACTTACTATTGCCTACTCATTATATTATTTATTTACAATTTAATTGTTCGGCCAATTCATTACCACTCACAGTTACCATTTTTATTATTATTTATTTTATTATTACATTCAATTTATACATTTTTACGTGTTGGGCCAAAAGGGCCGTAATTTAAATCATCATCTTTTTAATTATATTTTGTGTTGCCGTGAATTATTTATTTTATTATATCATTATTATACAGCAACACTAATTACTATATTTTGCGTCATAATTTTTATTTTTATCTTAGTTACCCTTTCTGTTTTAGTTTAAGCACACACCCACACGAATACACACATACACACACCACTTACACACATAGTCGGACACTAGTCGCGCGGCGATCCCAACCACTGCTGTCCGATCTATTTACAAAATACACACATTTTACAAAGGTCGGTCGGTGTGTGAGTGCAGCGCACGGAGTATTTAGGTAACCGGGCGCGCGTATCAATGCTTTACGCTCCCGGTCCGTACAATATTAATATTAATATTTGAAGTTTAATATTAGTCATATAATTTATTTCATCCCGTCACATTATTTTTAGGACTAAGATTTGCTGAGAGTTAAATAATAATTATTTTTATCATAGGTATGTACATGTATGTACATGGTATGTATATGTATTGCTTTAAAATGTATGACCAAAAAAAATTTAAGGAACTTTTAACTGTATTTATTAACTTTTTTTTTGGTAGGTACTAGGTACTTAAGTAAAAAGGGCTAATAACTTTTTTTGGAAAATCAAGTTTTTTTTATCAATTTTATCAAATTACAAAAAAATAAAAATTGCCGGGACTGACGTTCATTGATAATCAGATTGTACATCAGTTTTTCTAATAAATTTTATTCCTACTTACTTATATTTTGTATATCTATTTTTTTTTTTTTAAGGCGGGATTTATGAGGGTGGATTATCAAAAAAAAAATAAAAGTACACCGGTAACAGGAATCTGCGCACACCTATGATTTATTATTAAATTAAAGTGTTTTAATTACCTTAGTCATTGTTTTTCTTTTTATTGAAAAAGTCCGATATGGACAATTTTTGACGTTTATTCATGTTTATTTGTTTATTGCTGACGTGACGTGTAGGACTGTAGGATTGCGGTTGAGGTGTTTACTATTTTCAACAAAATTACAATTTATAAATTACATACGCGAGTACGCGACAAGCTAACCTAATACTGATTACTCATTCGTGGCGCACCTCGTTTCCAAATAAAATATAAATAATATTTAATTTTCCTTGAAAACCATCACCATTTGTTAATCGTCGATAACTAAAACAACGGACGGATTCTCAAAATACGGAGTCAATATATTATTATTGTCAATGGTTTACTATAGATCGTTATCGTCGGTACACCCAGGGAAGTTTTCGTAATAGTTATATTTTTAGCAATTTAGCAGTTTATACCACGAATTAATACACAGTGGAAACACTTAAAACGTGTTACATAAATTATATAACATTATTATATATTTTATTATTGCGTACCTAATATACATATGTGTTAATAATAATGAACAGATTACGAACTAATACCAAAAATTAAATAAAATATTAATCGTTTCCAATTTTTTTTCATATTTATTCAATTTTTCTAAGAAACAAATTCATATTCATATAATTGTTAATTGCTGCGTCCCCTGCGTTCCTTGATGAATTAAATTAAGGGGTACGCTATAATATGAAGAAAAATGAAGAGTAGCTGAGACCCTCTGCGTCCCCTCCCCAATTCAACCACTGGTTATCCATATAATCTACTGGCTATGTTTTTACAGTCTCAAAACGCTATGAATTCTGAGTATTAAATATTCGTCTTTGGTCAAAATATATTTGATCAAATCTCAAACATATTATAAGATATTTTTTAATACATTTTCTTTAAAGTATTTCGTTATTATTTATGTCTGATTTTATGTATTACATCACATGTAAATAAATATGTCGATAACGTTTGTTTATCAATAAAAAACAATGTATCTGTTAAAAAAATATAAGGACAGCTTAAAACTTTTCTGAATACATTTTAAATTTTAAAATATTATTGAATCTATTTCTGAACGAATAAAATGTAGTTAAACATATATATATATATATATATATATTAAACTCGGTTTTCAACAGGTATTATGTATTTTATCATGACATTGAAACGATAGAAACATACAAGTTCAAATCAGTATAAATGTATACGTTACCATGGCTGAAATGTCTTACTAGCTCATGTTCGTCATATGTGTTTTAAATTACTTTCAGAAAAACCTGTCCTAATTATTCGGCATTTCTATAACTCAGGTAACATATTAATTTACCATTACTTTTATAAAAAATATATTTTTATTTTAATGGGTACAAATAAAGAGCCAATAAGACAAATAGTAATAATTACTCATCATTTAATTATTGGCATCCAATGCCAATAACTGAAAAATTAAAAATATTTACGACAGTTATTGATATACATAATAAATAAAATAAATAAAAACCAATTGTGATTTTTAGCAAATAAATCCATTTGATATATTATAAGGAATCAGAATATCTTAAGTTCAAACTATTTAAATAACTATTACATCAATTAAAGTACTCATATATTAAATAGATAAATTACTAATAGAATATTGAAATATCTTACCTGAATCTTACGTTCATAAAAAATACATTTTTGTGGCAAAATATTTATGTAATCGAATAGCATAAATTTTATATCAATCATTGATAATAAAATTATATAAATGTTGCTAAATAACAAAAAAAATGCAATATTCTTAACACAAATGTACTAATTTATATAATTAAATTAATTATATTATTTTAATATTAATTATTTCATTTGTAAATCATAATTTATAATATTCAAAAATATTTATATATAAATATTATATATAAATTATTTTTTGTAAGGTTTTTTAAGTTCGTGCATTTAAGTAAATACATTGGCATAACAACAATAAATTTATCAACTTATCCATTATTAATGTAAAATAACAATTTATTGAATAAAAAAAATATTTACAGTTCAGGTTTGCAAAAATGTTAATCCTGGAGGCGCCGGGCATCGATCCCGGTACCTCTCGCATGCTAAGCGAGCGCTCTACCATCTGAGCTACGCCCCCTGGTAATCTAATAATTTAGATCTAGAATATTTGAGAGAATGTATAGATCTAGTTATTATGAATATACACTCACCAGTTATGTAAAAACTGCAACAGTATGCGTTATCCATGTAACTCAAGAATATATAGTGTTTGTA